CGGGCTGTGTGCATCTCGGGTTCTGGTTACCTTCTGGGCTGGGGCGTCGTCTAGGGGCTGACAGTGTTGCGAGGAGCCCAAGTGGTGACACACACATGGCCTTTGTCTCTAGCCCAGTCCTGGCTCCAGAGAAAGGGGATTCAGGCTCTCGTGAGACTGGTGTCCTTGGGTGCGATTTCTGCACCCAAGGAAGGACGACAAGACGCGAAAACTTCATTGTGCACGCGCGAAGCAGAGGTCACTCCTGGCCCTTCCAGCCCCACATGCCCCGCCCCTCCGGAGCAGTCTTTTAAAATTTTATTTAAAAAAATATTTTCAGGAGCAATATTTAGGGGATGCTAAAAAATTCTGTGATCAAGATCAATAACAGTTGAATGCACTACATGAAAAATAAAAATGAATGCACGTCTATGTTGATATCAAAAATTATCAGAAACAAGAGTTGCCCGTATGCTGTACTCACGCCCCGACATGCATGTGGCAAGGAATAAGGTATTTTCTTGCTTGAAGTTGGTTCTCATCGCTGTCTCCAGAGAGCAAGAGTTTCTTGCTTGTAGCTGTAACCGCAGAGCCGGGGATGAAAGGAAAGGTTCACCTGTACGTCATACAAGTGACGTCACAAGTGCAACTCGATCAGACAGCACACCTTGGGAGCCGGTCAGAACTTACTCAGGGATCGATCTATAAATTTCTTATGTGATTCCAAAGCGGCAGAAAAGTTCCACGCACAGCACCAGGCACTCTGCCCCTCAGAACTCTGTGAGGACTTGGCTACACCGCGTCGTCGTTTCCAGGCTCGCTCCCTCCCACGTTCCTTCGCCAATTGCATTTTCTGAACCATTCAAGAACGTCACATTTCACTCGTCGGGAACACCAGTTCCTCAGAGCACCGGAGACTGTCCCCCATCCGAGAACTTCTCAGTAAGCGGTTGCTGAGAAGAAAAGCCCAAGCTCAGGCGCTCCACCGTCGGCCACCGCGCAGGGACATCACCTGCGCCCCGCGGGGCAGCGGCGTCTCTCCCCGGCCGTCTGCGCGTGCGGGTGTCAGGGCGCCGCACAGGGTGGGCCCAGGGAAGGGAGGCTGCAGGCGGCGGCTGGCAGGGCTGGG